GGTCGCCGGTTCGATTCCGGCTGTCCGGACTCATTTTTTGCTTATTTTCTGCGTTATTTTATTTTCTTCTTCAGCGATGCGGACGTGCCATGCGGATTTGACTTTAGCTCGATGCAGTCGAGGCTTGCGCAACTCTGCGACGTGAATCACGGTGACAGTGCTAGCGAACGGCCCTCGACGTGTGCCGTGCTGACTGAGCCGAGTCACTGTTGCAGCGCAACGACAGGTAGCGAATTCGTGGCCATGCGCCAAGTGCTGCTCCCTTGGATGCGGCTGCCGGCGTGGATCTGAGCACCCAAGCGTGACTTTCTCTTGAAGCGGGAACGGCACCGGACATAGCTCAGCTGGCAGCAGCGATGGATTTAAGTTGGACATCCCAGAGGTCGCCGGTTCGACTCCGGCTGTTCGGACTAAGTTTTTCTGCGATAGGAGTGCAGCGTTGGTGTCGATATCGATTGGCAAGGTTGGTCGAGGGGATGGTGCTGGCGGGGTCGAATGTGTCCGATGTCTTAGATGGCTGGACCCTGCATCCCCGCAAACGGGAAAGATTGGGGTCTAACAAACTCGACCGAAACTAATGTTTGTTCTGTTAAGTCCATGAAACACCGCCAGGAAGCGGAAAGCGGAAGCAGATCAGCGCGAATCACGAAAGCGCTTCTTGAGCCGGTGTTGCCGGCGAGTGCTTTGCCGGCGACAAGTGGCTCCGCGTTGTGCGGGGCTGCGAGCTGAGCGGCTGCCCGCGCAAATCCGACCGGCACGCAGGCGTCTTCTTCGTGCTATCAGCCTAGCAGTGCAGCTTCCAGCGTCCACCACCGCCTCATCCTTAAGTCCGCGTGCACTGACTCCATCGGACCGGCACCGGGACGAGCTTTGATCCTCAAGCCGGCTGACGAGAGCCACTATCCGAGCTTCCCCTCAGTCCGGACGGAGCATCGTACGCTTCCATGCAACGTTTGCTGTCGGGCCCAACATCTGGCAGCTTGACACGATCCTCGCTTCTCGCTCACCACCTTGTCCGTCCGCAAAGTTTCCCGCTCCGCCACGCCTTCCACCTTTCACGTCGTCTAGCGTGCACTGCGAGTTCAGCTCGCACTTCACCGCCGCATCGGCCTAGACTCGCCATGTCGGACGATTCCAACTCCTCTGCTGCGGGCAAGCGTAGGATCGAAGCTATCAGTCGCCACGTTCAGCCCGTTGCCCCGATCACTACCACTTCAACTGCCCAGCAGCCACGGCCTCTGCCAAGCCAGAACGGTGCGTTCTTTGACGACCGCGACAAGCTCGGCACGTTCACGCTCGGGCCAAACGTCTCCATCCCCGTGTTCCAACCAAAGCTGCCAGAGCGTCTGCCCTCTGAGCGCCTGCTGCTCAACCTCGACGACCCCATCGCGCTCGAACACCTCGAGTTCCTTGCCAAAAAATGGCAGCTCGGTCAGGATGTCTTCCTCCTATCACCTCCGGGCCCTTATGCGCGCAGGCTCAGCATGACTTTTGCTTCGCTCCTCCAGATCCCGTTCGAGTACGTCTCCTTCCATCGTGATGTCGGAGAGGCAGAGTTGCTCCAAACCCGCAGCCTCTCTTCAGGCGGCAACCTCGTCTTCGAAGACGGGCCAGTCATCCGCGCCATGAAGAATGGCCATCTGCTCATTCTCGAAGGCGTCGAAAAGGCAGAGCGCGGCGTCACTCCCATCATCAACAACATCCTGGAAAACCGCGAACAGAACCTAGCCGACGGCCGGCATCTCATCCCCGCCGAAAAGCTCGAGGCTTTCCGCCAAGAAGAGGCACAGCAAAAGGACGGCGCGAGCCGTTTCATTCCCGTTCACCCCAACTTCCGCGTCATTGCCACGGGCGTCCCCGTTCCACCCTACCGCGGCTATCCACTAGACCCACCCTTCCGCTCTCGATTCCAAGCGCGTTGGATCGAGGGCTCCGTCCAGTCCACCGTACCGCTCCCCGAGAATCTCTCGGAGCATGCACAGCAGCTGCGTTCGCGTTGGTCTCAGTGGACGGCCCTTCTGCGCTACCACACCACCCTGGCACAGGGCAATGACGTGATTCCTCCGACTTCACGGCTTCCGAACCTGCCCACTACGGCGCTGCCCCTCCTCACCGACATCGTCAGCACCTTCCCGCCAACGAGGCCGCTCCGCGCTCTCGGTTTCGATGAGAGCGACCCCATCTTGCCCAAGTGGCCGCGCGATCTGCCCGAGGAGACCAAAGACGTCGAGGCGAGCGCCTCCACCCTCGCCCTTCTCAGCGCCGCCTACCCACAGATCTTCGGCCTCGATGCAGAAAAGCGAAAGACTTTGAACTCGCTTCTCTCTCAGCTCGAGATTCACGAGGAGCAGGGTGAGGGCGCCGACCCTGCCGCTCTTGCTGCCACCGGCTTCATGGGCTACCTCGTCGACCGCATCGAGCGCATCTCTGCCACCAACGCCAAGATTACCTTTGCTCACGTGGCTGGCGACGCCCCCACCATCTCCATCGAGGCTCCCTGTGGCGCTTTGGACCTCGCTCCCGTGCCACGCCTGGGAGACAAGAGGTTCATGGGCCAACAGCTCATTGTGACGCCAAGGGTGCTGTCGATCTATAGCCGCCTCCTTCAGCTGCATGCGCTTGGCAGGGACATCTGCCTTGTTCCAGCGAGCAAGGCACCTGCAGCGGACAAATCCGGTGCTGCCTCCACCGCTGATCCTTTGGCTGCAGCAGCGCATCAGCCGTCGTCGTCGACAACAACATGCATCAGCCTGATGGCCGCCACACTTGGCTATGCATTCGAATCGGTCTGGTTGTGGAAGGACCTGGGCGGCGGAGAGCTGCTCATGCGCCGGGCCACCGCCAAGGACGGCAGCACCACCTGGGAGCCAGCTCCGCTTGTGCGCGGCGCGATGCAAGGCAAGCTAATCCACCTTGCTGGTGTAGACGTGCTTGGACCCACACTCGGCAGTCTGTCGCGACTCTTGCAGGACCGCGAGCTCGAGCTGTGGAATGGCGCCCGCATGACGGAGAGCAATGCCGACAAGTCGCGTCCGATCGACCAAGTCACCGCCAGCGCCAACACGAGCATCGAGAGTATGCTTGGCTCCACCGTCGCTCCGGGCGAGATCGTGCCGATCCAGCCGACATTCCGCGTGGTCGCAACGGCGTCCAAGCCCACCGGCTGGCTCGATGAGGAAGCTAGTACACTCTTTGCCATCTGCAGCACCCGCGCCATGGACGAGGACGAGGAGCGCCACATCGTGCTCTCGCGTGTCGGCCTCGACGAGCCAACTTCCGATCTGAAGCGCCTCTTGCACTTTGTCAACCGCTACCGCACGCTCAGTGCTGACCCCAACCTAGGCCTCGCCAAGTCGAGGAGGCTTGGAACGCGTCAAGTGATCCGCATGGCCGCACGCCTGGCGCGCTGGCAGGAGGACTGCGACGTCCATGGCCTCATCTGGCGCAGTCTCCTCGTCGACTTCCTGCCGATCACGGTGCGCGAAGTGATCGCCAACCTGCTCACTGAATGCGGCATCCACAAGCCGGGCACCGAGGGTGCCTTTCAATTCGTCCCGCGCCTCTGGATCGGCGACCCTGCAATCGTTCCTCCTGCCAGCGGCCAAGAGGGCGCCGGAACGCTCGAGTTTGCTGCGTCCGACGGCTCGGATCGCGAATACCCTGTGCGCGCGATCCCTCGCTACGATGCAAACAAGCTCGACCCCGAGGGAAAGACGCTCATTCCTGACCTCGGCGGCAGCTTCTACAACAACGCCCAGCAGAGCGGCTTGATCCGATCGTTCTCCGAAGATCTTGTGTTGCTCAACGAGCACCTCCTGCTCATGGGCTCGCAGGGCACGGGCAAGAACAAGATCATCGACCGCACGCTCGAGCTGCTCGGCAGGCCGCGCGAGTACATCCAGATGAATCGCGACTCGACCGTGGCCGGTCTGCTCCAGCAGATCGCGCTCGAGAAGGGTCAGATCCACTACTACGACTCGCCGCTTGTGCGTGCGGTCAAGCTCGGCCGCATCCTCGTCGTCGATGAGGCTGACAAGTGTTCCACCGCCGTTTCGGCTGTTTTCAAAAGCCTTGCGGAGCGGGGTGAATTGAGCCTTCCAGACGGACGCCGCATTCGTCCCGCTCAGATTGGCGAGCGTGCCCGTGCCGCTCAGAACTCGAAAAGCACAACCGACTCGGGCGACATCCTGGTGCACCCCGACTTCCGTCTTGTGCTGCTATCGAACCGACCGGGCTGGCCCTTCTTCGGCAACAACTTCATCGAGGTCATCGGCGAGGGCTTCAGCTGCTACGCGGTCGCCAATCCGGACATCGAGTCCGAGGTTCGCCTGCTCAAGGCGGCAGCGCCGAGCGTGGATGTAGATCTGCTCCGCCGGCTCGACCTTGCGTTCCATGATCTGCGCGCTGGTTTCGAGGCGGGACTGATCAACCACCCGTACTCGCTGCGTGAATTGCTCCATCTCGTGGCGCACATGGAGAAGTACCCGCAAGAGTCGCTTTCGTCGGTGCTGCTCAACACGCTCGCTTTTGACCTGCACCGCC